GTAATAGGTTTGCCATTAGTACTGCTGCAGACAAAGTTAACGATAAACTGACTAACATTTTGCAAGACATTTGCACCAGTTTACTGATAACTTGCCGTATCTGCCACTTGTAACGGAATTTTGGCCGAATTTAAACAATGATGGCGCTTAGAATTTTACCATGAACATTGCTTATACCAGCATTATGTGACTCTATCCAGATCATTCAAATACCTTGTCCTACATGTATCTTGTGCGATTGAATAACCGTGAAAATGCTCACTGGTGGCATATTTTATTTAACTCATTGACGATGCCTGTAAACCGACATCCCTCATGAACGGATAAAAGGAATTCACGTTATTACTAGTAACACTCGATTTATTTTGCACAACAGTATGGAACAAAATTGAAACAGCAACCAGACTAAGGTGGCCCTGAAAAGTCTTGCTCACATGTGAAGCAAAGTTAGCAGTCCAAGACTTGAAGGGGTTCAGTTTTGTTCCGTTTCAAAGAAAGATTTCAATCTTAGTAGATGGGTGAGAGCACTGGCATTATGGCGAAATTACCACTTAGCTCAGAGTTTAATGAACTTAGTGAGTAGATAGGCTCATATAACTTCGTAGCCATTAAGTTTGTAAGAAATCCCTGATATGTAAAGGTGATGAAATATGCATAAAAATATCTTCAGTCTACTGAAATGCTACTATTTGGACAGCGCGCCACCACCACCAGGAACTTAATTCCCAACTGATATTCAAAGGGAGAAAGCGACTCTTGGCATTTGATGTAGGTACTGCTACATGAAACCACTGGTCGTTTGATAAAGTCCCATGGGCGTAACCACGAAAATGAACATCAAACTCATTGTCTCGTTATATCAATTGATAAACTGGCATAATGTGACAAATTGGTGATGCTGATGACTGAGCGGTAATAGATTGAGAACAACACAAGCCATTAGTGTTGGTTATTTTGCCTAGATGTCAGGCGAGTTGCATGTGTACGCCCGAACACGCAGAGTCAGTTACATGATGATGAACATTTTTGGTTAGCTCCTGAGTCAGCCACTGAGTTTGCTATTAAATAAGAAATGGCATATGATCCAAAGGCCTGCAAAAAGCATTCCTTCGATAATTTGGTTCCGCCTGTCTGACAGACTAGTTGCGCTGACTTCAAAGGAGATCACCGTACTGTAGGATAATGTGTGGGAACTGCTGTGCCTTTTGTAAGTTGCAGCTTCTGTGGATAACTTGCCAGGTTATGAGTTGAAACCAGGAGTAGGATAACCACCAACTCATGTATTTGATCCAATTTTGATATGGTCTTCAGGTGTGGCAGGCTGACCAGTAGGCGGAAGATTCCAGTGGTTGCCGGTCTTAAGAATCATGTTGTCTTTCACGTCTCATAAACCGTTAATGCCCAGCTCTTGCTACGCTCGGGCCTCTCGCTATCCCTCGAAGCCTTTCAGAAACGCTTAGTACTAACGGACGCAAAGACCAAAACACCGATTGGCGAATCGAGAATTCTTTGTTCTAACACCAACATATGAGCAGCATAATAACTAAGGCCTATGAACAAATAATACAATAATAGATCACGATATTACTTCTGACGGTTTTTAATCTTCTTTCTGAACAGCGACCGATGAGACGATGACTGGTGTATTGATGCCTCCGCGAAAATATAGGGAAGTTGGGTTTGAGCAAACAACCATGAATTGATCGTTCAATCTTGAACTACATCGACAGATGCCATGTGTGTGTTTTATCAGTAGTGCAATTAATGAAATTCTCAATGATACCACAACAGACGCCTTAAATTCAGGAAAACACACGTCGTTAGCTCTGATGAAGGCTTTTCAGGAACATAGCATCTCGCATATTAAGCAGCATAAAGCGAGAGGAATGCATCTTGGCGAAAATTTAGTAAGGTACATTACGTTGATATGATCTAATTTGTTGATGTTGAATCAAAGCTCCAATCAGCCATGCTTACATGAATCCATCGAACTTTTCTGTTAGAGTGATGCAATACGTCACATAAATGTACGAAGATGAACTACGATTTGGAAATCTGGTTCATGTTGAGCAATGGCAAGTTGATGAGATTCCACTAAAAGCAGGCCCAATGTGGTTTTATCTTAAGATGGGATAAGATGACAGCTTTTTGAAATCTAAGGTAACAGGGTGGAGGGAGACATGGATAATGGAATCTTTGTCTATCGAATCAACTGCACGCACGTGCAATTTTTACTCTTGATTATAGCTTGATTTCACACTGTACTTGTCAGTCAGTCTCATAAACTGTCAGTGTCCAGCTCTTGCTACGCTGGACCTCACGCTGTCCCTCGAAGACCTTCAGAAACTCTCTGTATTAGCGAGCGCGAAAACCAAAACACTGGTTGGCGACTCAAGAATTCTTTATTCTTACGCCAACATATAACCAAAGATAATGTTACTACACAAAGGTCTAAGAACAAATGTTATAACAGTAAATCACGACATTACTTCTGATAGTTTTTAATCTTCCTTCTGAGCAGCGAACGATGAGACGATGACTGCCGGATTGATGACCCGCGAAAACTATGGGGAAGTTGGGTTTGAGCAAACAACCATGAATTGATCGTTCAATCTTCAACTACACTGACAGTGCTTTTGGTACAAGTATGGAATTTTCAGCATGGATATCCGTAGCCCAAATTTTTGCACGCCGACCATAGAATTCAGGTGTGCGTCGACAGAGCATGGAACCTCGGACCATGTGCATGGTCGGCGAGAGCCTTAATCACTGTGCCACCGACGCCAAAAAAAAAATAAAATAAAAAAATAATAATGTTTCACCATGCATATATCTAATGAACAAATCATTGTGGAATTACGTAGTGTCACAGCGCACAAATTTTACACATTTATTAATAATGCCCCGTGTGCCACGATTTTTATGATAATAACAGCAGCAGTACAAAAATTTCAAGTATCAATGGGAAGGAGGTTCACTTAGACATTCCCATGAAAAATGGGGACAGTAAAAATGGGTCAAAACTCGCCAAAGTTATTTTATGTTTTGCGGTTATTTCTGTCTTGCAGCAAGTAGGCTTCTGGCACTGTCAGTTTACAGACGGATTGAGATAACTTTCAAGAATTGAAAGCAGGTATTTCGCTACTGAATATTTAGAATCATGTTGAGCATTGCTTCGTGATTTAGAACAAGAGGGAGATGAATCAACACAAATCATATAGGGCTCACCAATTCCAAGAAACCAGTTAGTTGTGCTGCTTGAACGAATTCGAACTCAATTCCGGCTGGCTTCAAATGCAAGCAACCTTCATCATTATTGTGTAGTCACTTATATTGCTAGACCAGAGCTTTCACCACACCACCTGCAGACTCTTTAGCCCGACCCGTCTGAACTGGTGGCCGGAGTGCCCTTAATGTCACCTACGGTAGTTCAGAGATACATTTACTAATGAAGGTGCGAAGACAGAATAGGGACACACAGTCACGCGACGATGCAGCAGCTGCGCTCTTGTTTTTTGAAAACCCAGTTGTTCACAGTCTGATCCTGTCAGCAAAGAAAAACAGATTAGCCGTCGAAATTAAAATAGGTGAGATTTAGTTGAATTGGGGAATTTCTTCGATCCCCCTGAACAATTATTTTACGTCAGATAGGCAACCTTTATTTGAGAGCACTCTAATGAGAAAACGGTAAATGAGGCCATCAGGTGAATGGCTGAAATCAGTAATAGTGAATTAGCTTTCAAGGAATGTGGTAGAAAGTGAGAAGAGAGCAGAAAAAGAAGTGGTGGAAGTTCAGCTCTACACTGAGTACCACCTTCGGTAAGCAATGAAGTGGAGCGTAATTCCCGTGTAAATTGCTAACTTTCAGATCATAACCTTTTCAGATAACGAAAAAGTTAACGCTGCTAAGCCACTAACCTAGACACTGTTTGGTAAGCACTAGCGCAGTGATTCATACGCTGGATTTTCGTGACCTTCGTAGATCCGAACCTTGAGGATAATTGAAATTTGTGGTCCAGACTGATATCCTTGGTGTTCAGTCACTTAACTACTCAGAGAACTGAATAATACCGAGGACGTGACAGTTGAGTGCAGGATCACTGGTTATTCTTCCACCTTTATTTACGGAGAAGGCTAGTATGCGTTTGCGTTTAGAAGACATTATACCCTCCACAGACAGATACGGCTGGAGAGTGTAGCCATCGAAATGAAAGAAACTTCAGAGCAGTAGTGGAAGACCTGTAGCTTCATTTTTAAACTATCTTGTCTCAACAAGACTTGAAGTTTATGTGATTAGTCTTTCCACCACTAAATCCGTATGCAGATAGTTTTCAAATAATACCAATGGCAGAGAGGTGAACAGCTATGCAGCTCCTTAGAAATCATTTATGTAATTACTACAGAAAAGTCAAAAATATACGAGAAGAGATTTAATCTTTTTGCATTCGATAAGCCACATTTCATCTATGACCACTATAGTATCCGTCTCCTACTCGCCACCAGGTTCAGCTTAAGCAATCTCAACTGTGTGTAATGCGTATAACTTCACATACATCTCACTGAGTTTGATTTCAAAGCTGCCTTGAAAAGCTGTCTTTGGGACGTTTCCGATTTAGGGAGACTGAAGCTGCGAATCTAATTTAAATACTTTGAATGTGGAGATTAGGTAGAAAAATACCTGTAGATTAATTTCCCATGGGGCGTTAACCACCGGGCAAACTTAGAACTACACTCTAAGTGACTTCATACGGAAGAAAAATCAGATAAATAACAAGTTCATTAGTCTCACTGCAGATACCCCAACTAAACATTTCCCTCAGAAATTTAATTCACCAATTTTCTTGGGACTAGAAGAACTTTCCAACCTAATGAAAGTTATATTTCTGTCACAACATTACTTTTGTTTTTCTTTTTCAATTTTATGTTTCTGAATACAACCTCAAGTATTGTCTGCCATATTTGACTAGTATCTGGATGTGAGGTATGTTGTTTACAGTTTATGCATTCATGGTAACTGTTCAAGATTTGGACACTATCTGGGACGAAATTAAGTGCTTACACACTAGTGGTATGGTGTTTTTTTTAATGCTGGTTTCATCTGTGTATACAAGTTTAGACGAGATACAATGAAATCAAAAATATATTTTGAATATCAACTGCTAATTTTGTCAGTTAGTGATTATGAGTCACGCGAGTTTTTTATATTCATCTTTAAGTGTTCTTCGATGATTTATGCTGTGGGGAGGGGGATATATCACGTAACCTTAATAATGCATAAATTAATAAGGTTGCGTGATGTAAATAATATATTACTTATAGGAAGTGTACAGGCCTTCAGATAAACAGCTTCAGGTTATGTTGTGGTACTGTTCTGCCACTTATGCGTCAGCTTTCACATATGGAGGAAGTTTAATCAGATTCTCGTTTCTAGTTGGGTTTTTTCTCTGGGTCATCTTTGATTTTCCTTGGCGGGCATCAAATGATATGCTCCTGTGTGACATAATGACAACGGCATGATAATAATTAAATTAAATTTAAAAATATTCAAGTTTAGACCCGATCATATTCAAGACGCGGTAAATATTATGTGCTTGATTCTTACGTAATTGTATAAGACTTATATCAATTTAAGTTAACATTTATCAGTAAATAGTATCAGCAAACTTATGCTTCTTAAAAAGATGAAGTACTTATTGCTTTGAGTTACATTGGAGAAGGCTACTGAGTATGGTTTTCAGTTGTAAGATATGTTCGCATCTCGATAGCTGAGTCTTCACACAGACTTAATTGTTGGAAACTGGATAGTTCATATTTTTAGAGTTACACAAGCATACACAGCATATTAATGTAATATGGATTTGAGGTTTTGTTTGTATGACTTAATTTTGTTTAAACAAGAACTTTATTTTATGAACTTTTCTTCCTCCTCTAATATTTCCAGGTATGCTGTTCAAAGATACAAAACAACTGTTTATCGAATTATTACAATACACACCATTGCTTTAAGTGAACTATTTCATGTGAATCAAGCATACGAATAAAGCATTAAGATTTGGTCTTGTCCCAGGTATCTGTGAAGTGGAGGAGATAGATATTGTCTCCCTGTTTCCAGTGGGCATTATCACATTCCATTCTGAATATGCGTAATCTTCAAATTTCTACTTATGGAGGTATAACTCGTTCCTGCCAACCATTGAAACACTATCGTATATTACTTTGGAAAGACTACCTTTTACGTCGTCGGAGTTTCTGGCTTATAATAGCAGAGTTATTTTTCGCGATAGTATTTATCGCTACAATCGCTTCTATTCGCAATCGTCATTCGGTAGATACGAGGTCATCATGTTTCATTCAAAGTCAAAGTTTGACAAGCATGGGGTTATTGACCTATATGCAGTCTCTTATCTGTAACTTTAACTATACATGTCAACAAAAAAACCCACAGAGTTTTGTTACGTTAAATGGTTTCGCTCCTCTTATATACTTCCTTGATAATGTGACTCACTTGGTGGATAATCCGATCTTCTTCAAATGGTAAGTATGACTTGTTATGTTATGTATTTAAAATAATGGTTTTTGATCAGTGTTGGAAACATAAAACTTGTTCATTTCTGGATAAATTGAGCTCATAAAAATCCTGAATTCTGAACTTTTGGGTTTTAAATCTTTGGTGGAATGTTTCGTCACTGAAGCTTTGAGATCTGGCTGTTAACCCATTTTTCATTTCAATTCGAAAATAGAACTATATGTGTATCTTATACGTTTGCTTAGTGACACCAAGTAAAACTATTATTCGACACACTTGGCCTTTTTTCCCAGCGCAGTGCACGACTGTAATGACGGCCTACACATAGTAGGTGTAACTCAGATTAGTACATAGACCTAAGTGTGATTACTAGTTATCAAATGTAGATGCCTTTGTGTAAAGTCTTAGTTCCTTATCAATCCTGAAAACACCATATGCTGTATGATTATGTCTATGTGTATCATGAATGAGAATTCGGAAATTATTTCACCGTGTCCTTGAAAGTGTATAAAAGTGCCTTTTTCTTATAACACCCCTTTTCGTTGACAGATATTTGACATCCTAACTATATTTATATAGGAAGCTGTGTTTAAAGAAAGCATGCTTCCTATATCTAGTATTATGAAGTATAATGTCTGAGGGATACTAGACGGTTAAAACTTGGGATTCAATTCATTTACCTTTAAGTTTATTTCTTTTATCCAGTTTATCAGGTCTACTCTTCTCGCCCATCAAATATAAGGTAATTCAACACTTATCTGGATAGATACCCGTCATATTGCAGAAGTGAAACATTTGGAAGTATCTCCGGTTCTGATTCGATAATAACTAGAACAATTTCAACATAAATTTTAAAGTTATACTTGGTTTTGGCCAATTTGCATAGCTTATGTTGCTGGTAGAATATGTGTTTGTTTAATAAATAAATAAAGGGACTTAAAATTACATTGGATAAAAGATACCAGAAGACTTCAGGTACTTAATTACTAAATCAAAAAGGACATAAATGACTGAAGAAGAAATCAGAATTGACTTACGCTAAGGGAATTAAGAAAGTATAAGTTTGTATTTCATATAATGGATAGATTAGTATGATGGTTAGGAATACGGTTTGAGTCTCTGCTTCTCAATACTTTTCTCTAACTTCACAAATTGTTGTTGTGAACAATCCGTATGATAAACATAGAGGTTGTGCATATTGTCTGCTATATAAAAGTGATGGGTCAGAAGTGGAAGTTGTAAACTCCCCTCAACTAATGTGACCGGATTTTGCTCCATGCATGACTTCCCACTCCTTTCCAGAAAGTTCATCTTTAAGTTAAGGTGAATTGAGATACTTGTTGTTAGTTTTTACCGTTTAATGAAGTAAAATTTGAAGTCGTTGATTAAATACCTCGGCATATGACTTAGAATAATTTACACTGCTAGAGTCTTCATTCTAACTTAATTTCCATCCTAGATGTTAAGTAACTTCCCTCCCATCTATTTCACCCTGTATTCCTTCTCCTTACGACTTAAAATTCGTAGTATTTTTGTTTCTTTATCTTACACATTTTGTATTTCATGTGTAGTATAACTATCATGCAGTAAATATCAGGTCCTATATGGATGTTACTTGCTTCTCAGGTACTAAGATCCCTTTTAACATCGGAAAATAGTCTTGCATAGGCTGTAGGAGAGTGACATTTTAAATTCAAGAACCTGCAACACTGTCACTGACATATTTTCTATTTATTTAGTGTGCCTAGGGTCCTCACTACTTTTCTATATTTTAGTTAGGACTATTATTAGTGATTTTTTCTGTATGCGTACCATTATCTCTCGAAATATGTTCATTACCCTGTGGGTATACAATACTCGAACCATTTGTGTGTGCAAATCTCTAACTAGTGTAAACAATTAATAATAACATAGGGGATTCATTGCAGCATGTAATTCTCTGTTTCGTTCAAGCTATGCGAATACTATTTAATAGTTTTCAAATGAAATGTGATTTCCTTATCAAGTGACACTACCTTGGAATTGCCACTCGTTTGATTAATTTGAATCATTTACATTCAATCTCTCTCAAAACATTTAGTTTATTATTGACAGTAGAATGTTGGCTAAAATTGGAAAAAACTTCACAACAGGATAGTCACATACCTAGTTAATTTTAGAACTTAGTTCATGCGTCTCTGCAGGTTTTCTCTCCTTCGTATTGACATTTAAGTTTGATCCGACTCACTGAAAATATGCTAAGTGGTAAAATTAAAGATCCTTCCATTACTATGTGCGTAGATAATTTACTTGTCCCTCCCCAACTGTTGTACATGTAATAATTTCACATCTTAAGCGACGGTCACACCACCGAGCAGTTTCTCCAACTCCTCGTAGTCGGGGATGGTAAATTGCTGGTGACTAGGCATAATACGGATCTTCCGGTTGTCTTGAGCGGTGTTACCAGTCGATTTGAGAACTTCAACTGATAGATACTCAAGGATGACTGAGAAGTTGACGAGGGCTCCAGCACTGATGTGTTTAGCGTAGTCAATCCTGCGTAACAGACGATGCATGCAACCTGTGGGGAACTGAAGACCATCGCGAGCAGGTCGAGATTTAACGCTAGCGCGAGACTTTCCACTTTTACCACAACCAGTGGTGATTTAATTTAGAGCAGAGAAATGTGTACATTTTTATCATCTAGTCTTCACAATCTTTTAGTTCCTACTAGAATTTTACACCTATTAGATTTTCTCACTATCTAGTAGCCGGTTTATATGAAAGTGTATGGAACATACACATTGGATCATAAGAATTATTAAAAAGACGCTTGCAGCGAAGAAAATTTTCTTTCCGGTGAAGTCATCAACTAGGTTGTACATGTGTGTATTTATGATAAATGAGTGGGAAGGTTCCTAACCCTAACCCTAACCCATTGACTGATGGGGCCATGTTTTGGTTTGACCGCCACCAGCTAGCTCTTTTCCAGCCTGACCCTATGTCAGCTAACATTGCCAGTCGGTCGAGGAAGGCGATGACTAGGTATACGTAACACATGTCCTAACCATCTCAGTCTATGTAATTTAAGCTAGTTTATTATTTACATTTGAATCTGTTTCAGTATACACTGGTTAGTAGTACTCATGAATAATGGTACCAGCTTTCATATGTATCAGAGTTAGTATCATCTCATTAGCTAATTAAAATCGTTTTTTCTGATTTTGGGCTGAATTTGTTGTCCTAACACCTTATTGTTTGCTGGACGTGTAAGTAGGTTACCTGGGGAAAACAATTGCCCACTTTAATGGTATATAATTTTCACTTAAAATGATTGGTTACATATTTTTCTCAAGTCTTTGGTTGGTTAGAATTCAGTTGCCTAGATCCTATATTTCATGTAGGAGACTATGAACCACACCCACTATCCAGAAGCTAATTATATGACCCTGTTTTTAAGTTGAAGTAGTTGGAGCGAACTTAAACCCACGACCCATTTACTGAAGTCAATGAATCACCTCTCCACTTGGGGTTTGGCTTTCCTTTCTTTTGTTTAGATAATATCTGACTATGGAACTATGATTTCCATCATATATTGTGACTTCACTTCAAGGGACCTGTTCAGTGGATTTAAAACTAAAGATTCCCTTGATCTTGGGAGTGATGTTGTTCACATAAGATAATTATTATATTACTTTTTGCATACATTTTTTGTTACACAAGGGTATTTTATAATTGGCCTCAAGGGATGCTTCACACAAAATCTAATAGCTTTCATGGAGATAGGAATACTAGCCGAATTGCCAAGCCAAAGGAGGTGGTTGTCTTAATAGGACATCTCTTACGCCTTTGACTTCAAGCCTGATCCACAAGGCAATTGGACAGCATCAGGAACTATACTTTCCGACGGTTTCCGGTGACCGAAACAGGTCCCAACACCATTCGATGCAGTCGGTTTGTGAAGTTCATGTACAACCCATAAGTTTGGGATCTGAGTTTTCCAGCTTTAGAAGTTCTTATTTACCCTCTAAATTTTGTAAGGAACTCCATCACCGCGTAACGGCCGAGGTTTATGGACGCGTGGTAAAGGAATACCCTTATAGCTTTTAATTATCAGTTTGCGAAATACCTTCGTCTTCATTTTAAAAATATTGCCAGCTTATATTTTACTCATTTTAAAATACACTCTGTGTGCAAGAGTACCAGTTTTGAATAAAGCAAGCAAGACATAAGACATAAATCATCTTTCAAATTATGATGTAGGGGCATAAATTATGCAGAATAATATTCACTCGTTAGTGTCATTTCATTGATTTTGACTACTGGTGCCTTACCACCAAGTAAACCAACACAATAAATTTTTATTTCTTTATACTATGTAACAACTTTTAAGACTGATGTTATGTATGCTTTTGACGTCATATTTCCAATATCTGTGGTACTACACATAGCTGTCTATGTAATGAGTCTACCATGCATATTATTTACCCCTAATAGTCTAACATTTTATATATTTTTTGCATCAACCTTGATTTTGTGAGTCATTTCTCCAACAGTTATTACTGTGATCATATCGCTAGACAGACACACATTGTGTAGGAAATACTACCTCTAAATAGCCATATCGTGTGTCTTTTTTATAAATAGACTCGATATGCATAACAACACATGTGACCAAATAGTTGTACGTATAGAATTTCAGGTGTGCATAATTTATAAAGCTTCTTGTGTTAACTAAAACATTGAATTTTTCGTCTTAATTTTGAGAATATTATTTTTCATTTTAGGATAGGTTAGAAAGCATTTTGTGCTTTAATTTTTTATCTTAACTAAAGTCTGCTCTTTACATTCACAGTTTTTATTTTTGGTACTGGTTTCTTCACAATGACATTTGAATATTGTGTAACTAAAGACTAGTAAACACAGTTGATTTTTGATTGTTTTCGCTGTTTGAATCGGGAATTTGTGTTATGGTCAGTAAAAGAGTAGGCAAGTGGGCTTATTGACTATTCTCCGTGAGTTGTTTGCA